AAACTGTCCTTCCGATTTGATTTGAAACTGTCTCATTGCTATCTCTTTGTCAATAAAACTTTGAAAAAAAAAAAGTGAAAAGTGGGGCACATTGGTGAATTAAGTTACATATTTAAATAAATGGACAGCCAACATGTCCACTGAATTGGAAGACTGTTAAAACATCAGTTTGGCTCAGTTGCCTACATATGTGCAGCAATCTTAATCAAAATACTTATGGTCATTTTCTGATGGAAACTGATAAACAGATCCTCAACTTCATAAAAAGATCTACATTAACCAAACCACGCTTAAAAAATATAACAAAGGTTTACTACCTGTGTTTCAAGTCTTAATATAATTTTACAAAATTCAGACAGTGTTGCAATGTTGTATTAAATCATGAATCAAAATATTTATGGTATATACTCTACATGATAAATACAATCATTATGTGTTGCAAACCTGTGTTAATAAAAAGTGATTAAATTAGTTCTAGGGAAGACAGGAGGAGAGAGAAATGAGGTAAGGGGGTGAAAATAAAATGTTCTATGCAAATACAAAATTAGAAAATGAAACTCACTGTTCTATAAAATAATATGTGTCAATAAATCTTAAAACAAATAATAATAATATACAAATATTATAAACCTAAATATGAAAGCTAGAAAAATTCAAGAGGCAGAGGCACTTGGAAAGCTTAAGTGAAAATGTTGCATGTTAGAAGACAGGAAACAAGGTCACATTCTAAAACTCAAGTGTTTAAGCAAAAATCTTGAATTGATTGGAGGTAGACCAAAATAAATAGTATCTTACAATTATTTGATAGTGAAGAAGTGCTTCATAGTGAAGAAAGTGTTGACAATGAGGAAGAGCTTGATTGTAACATGGAACTTGATGGCAATAAAATACCGAAAAATGAAACAGAACTTAAATTAATCAAAGTTGAATGTGGAGTAAGCAACAATAAACAATTCATTAACACTGGTAAGAGTTCTACACATGAAAAAGAAAGATTCAAAACCAATCAGGACTAGGACTACTGACTTACTAGGTCATGAAAAAGATCAGAGTCAAAATGATGATAACAAACACATTGGACAGATCATACAGGAAGACATAGAAGAACAAATTAAATGAGGGAAAAGAAAAAGGCTGTCTTCTAGAATGTAGGACAGTGATGAGAGAGATGACAATGATATCTTAGAAAAGTTGGTGATAAATGTCCATGTAGAGTGGTTGAAGTGTGTCTTCAGTGGAAATGGAGCAGAGTAATCTTGGAAAATCATTAGCTTCTCAAAATTGTTATGAGAACAACCCCAGAAGCTGAAGGAACTCCCAAAAAAGATCTTGCAAGAGAAGCAATATTGGTAGAAACTTCGAGGACTCTAAAAAGGAATCCTGTCCAATTAGTAGGGAAGATGAGGAGGAAGAGGATGACTTTGAATATGATGAAGATGGAGATGATTATACTATTGATGACTTTGTAGTACAAGATACGCAATGTGATGAAGAGAATAAAAATCAACTACAAATGTCAGATGGCTTATTGACTCTTAATTTAATGAGCCTTTACTTATAACATAATGTAATGGAAACTTTAATACTAGCCAATGAATGAGAATTTCATGTTTAAGTTTCCACTGTTTTTCTGTCCTACTTATTCCATATCTCATGGGGAGAGGGGGAATAAGGGAGGGTTCTACTTTTTGAAAAATGTTTGAAAATATCTGAGGATTTTATGTTAATTAATTATAATAAACATTTTTAAAGTTAAAAAAATAAAAATCAATAAGAAAAATTAACTATCTCACAACTGAAATTAGTAAAGCAGAATTCTCTTTATTGTTTCAGTGACAACTATACTCACTTTGATAGAGAGGTAAAGTGGTAAAGGCTCTTCTGATCAACTCTTTAGATGACTCTTTTCTGAGAACACTGTAAAATGGCACCAGGCAAAAGTCATGTGCACAAAGTATGTTGACATCTCTTCATTATTTGGATAACCGCTTTGCTCAGCCCCAACTGGAGAGTTTATCTTCAAGGAGTCATTGGAAAGAGCAATGTAAGGGTAGAGTATAAACCTATTATAATGCAAGTATCCATTTGAGGAATCCTGAAAACTGTTCTTGCTGAGCTTGTTGGATTGCATTGTTATTGTAAATACTCAGTGCATTTATGGGGAAAGTTGTATAACACCAGAACTATGGAAACAAATGATTTCATGTCATATAATAAGCAGGTGTTTACTATTGGCAGAATCTGTGATGAATGTACCAGAATTTACAATAACCTGAAGCATTTTAAATTCAAACTGTACCAAGATATTGCTCCACTGTAAAGACAGAAGTAGTAGAGAATGAGTATATTAAAGAAACAGTGGAAAGAATTTTCAGTAAATCAAAATAAAGTGGCTGGATTGAAGAGAAATATGATCAACTTCAAGAATATCTCAATTTTGATGATTACTTTCAAGAAGAGAAGTTTGAATTATAACACATTTCCTTCAGAGAAGATTTTATAATTCCTGTAAATACGTAGATCATTAATGAGCCTTGTTTCTCTATATCATGTGGAATATGTATATATTTTATGAGTATATTCATGGAAAAATATCTTGTTTTAAACATGTGTTCATATATATTCCCATGAAACAGCAGTATATAATCTTTTTTCCAGCACTCTATAATCTAATCAAAATTTTATCTGACACAAAAAAGAAAGTTACAAAATTCAGAATATTTTTATAGCTTCATGTTATAGCAAAATGTATTGAATAGGACACAAAAAAAACTTAAGTGGGAAAAAACTGATGGAAACACTGGAGTTTTTTTTTAAAAAAAATAACAACAGTGGGGCCGGGGAGATGGCTCAGTGGAATAAGCGCTTCCCTGGCAAGCACAAGGGCCTGAGTTCAATCCCCGGTTCTGCCAAAAAAATAAAAATAAAAAATAACAACATTACATTCATCCATTCATTCATTTATTCACTCATTCATTTATTCATTCATTGGTAGTAATGGAAACTGAAACTAGTACATGCATACTAAGCTACATCATCCACCTTTTATTATTTTTTCTTCTGAGATATGGTATGATAAATCACTGAAGTGCCCTGTCTAGGCTCAAATTTGCAATCCTCCTGCCTTAGCCTCCCAGAATGCTAGGATTACAGGTGTGTGCCACCACACCCAGCTTCACAACTCTTATTTGTTACACAGTAGCATTAAGACAATGAAAGGAAAATCTGAGATAAAAATACATGTGTAATATATGTATTTGGCAAAATGATATAAAGAACTTCTCTGCATCAATAAGAAAACAGGCCAACAAACCAATAAATACTAAACAAAAATATATGAGAAAGGCCTTTAAAAGATGTTATCCAAATGGCCAGTAAGTTTATGAAAAGGAGTTTAATATTGTTAATCCTTAGGAAAGATGCCACCACAGAAGTGTCTCAAAGAGACACTTCTATATGCCTGTCAGTATAAGAAAAATTTAAATGGTTCACATGTCCAGTGAGAGTGAGGATATGGACAACTGCATGTATCATACATTGCTCATGGACTTGCAATATATCAAAACTACTTTGGAAAGCTGTTTGGTATCATCTATTGAAGATTAAATGTACAAATATCCTATGATTTCAATTAACTATTGTATTTTTGTGTTAAGAGAAATCAGTGTTTATGTTCACTAAAAGACATGTGCAAGATGTTAATAGCTTTTTTTTCATGTGAGTCCCAATCTGAAAATATCCAAGTGCCCATCAACAAGAGTATGTGAAATTCAATATGGTCTATTTTTTAATGGATCAATGTACAAAAATCATAAAGAACAAACCACTGGCACATATAACAAAATAAATGAGCTTTACAGACACAAGGATGCACAGCATGTGGTTTTACTTATATAAATTGCCATAATAAGAAAAATTAATTGAGAATCACAGAAGTTACAATAATGCTTATCTTGAGGAAGAGTGTGGGGAGCATTTTCTATAATTTTTTATTTCTTTGGCTGAACCAGGGATTGTACTCAGGCCCTTGCGCTTGCCAGGGAAGCTCTTATTCCACTGAGCCATCTCCCCTGCCCAGGATTTCTATAAAGAAGCATGAGTAAATTTTATTATGTGAAAGAACTACTTTATATTTTCATGTGTTTGGGGGGTACATGGGATAGATAGATAGATAGATAGATAGATAGATAGATAGATAGATAGACAGATGCAGTTTTGTGCAATTTAGTGTATTTTATCATATGTATGTTACATTCAAAAAAGGTTAAGAAAAGGGTAACTGAAGACCAACTCATCCATGCTACTGTGTAATTATAAAAGCAAACAAACTTAAAGCATGAATAAACATGTATTGTAATAATCTAGTTCAGGCTCTGTACCTGGCCATAACACTAATTCTTTTTGCAGGAATGACTCAGTCCTTGTCATTTGAAGGAGCAACATGATTGTTCTACCAACAACCACCAACTGTGTGCCTGTGTACAACTTTCTAAAAGAGTCAGCAGCAAACGAGTGCTGAGAAGAGCACATTATCACCTACAAAAATAGTAAGTCCTTTTAATTGATTTGTGGCTAGCAGTCAGAGATTGAAAACTGCTTCCCCAAACAAGTGCCCCTGCCTACAGGATATTGTCCTGCTGAGTGAGTAATACTTATTGTCATCTTCTACAGATAGACATGTAGGCAAGGAAAAGGTAAACAACTAGTTTGAGATCATATATCTGATTGAAAAATAGAATGCAACTCTGCCAAATAAGTTTCTATGTATCACTGGTTAGAGTTGATAAAGAAAGAATTGAAAAGGGATACTTACCTGGGAACCCGGGATGGCCAGGTTGTCCTTTGGCTCCAGGTGTTCCTGGTAACCCAGGTAAACCAGTAACTCCCATAGAACCTTTGATGCCTGGGTTCCCTGGTATTCCAGGAAGACCAGGTTCACCCTAAAATATGAGTAAAAAGATAAACTGAACTTTCTACATTACAAGTTATATAAGAACATACCATTATTTATAGAGCTTTTGCTATTTATTGGCACTCTGAAATGTTCTTTACATAAATTGCCTTATTTAATCATAACAGCCCTGTGAGTGAAATTTTGTCATCCCCACTTATAAATGAGAAAACTGAATTTTAGAGAAGCCAAGTGTAAGGTCATTAGTTAAGTGGTAGAATTAATTTGAAGCAAAAGGCGATGAGCCTAGGGCTCATGCTAATTCCTTGCTATGTAGATGTATATTTCTCATTAACTCCCAACAACTCTATTAGAAAACCAGTTGATCTCCATATTAGAGTGATGCATCTAGTAATTGGTGGAATATGAATTGGAACCTGAAAGATTTCACTTCAGAACCTGTGATCATCATCCCTGTTGTGCTACCATGTAACTCATTTACAAGCACATCAAGCAATAGATACAGTTAAGTTTTAGTGCAAAAGGAACTCTATCATCCTTTAGTAGACATCTAAAATGTCGTTTCTTTTATGAAGCCATCCTGGACAAAGAAAGTCTCCTTTAAAAGCTTAGGGCAGCCTTGCCTTGCTGCTATTCCTTCCCCTCCTCTGCTCCTCCAATTTTTACCTCTCTTTCATCTCCCTTTCCCTTTCTCTTCCTTTCTTTTTTATACTGGAGATTGCACCTAGGGCCTTTGCGCTAGCCTACATCGCCCCCTTCTTTTAATTTTTGAGGCAAGATCTCACCAAGTCACTAAGCTGCCCACCTTGGGCTTGAATTTAGAATCTGCCCGACTCAGCTTCTCAGATAAGGGAAGGTTCTTATTCTTTCATGTCTATAGTGGTCTCCTTTATGCAAATGTTAATTCTTCAATTACTTTGAAGGAATCTTTGTGGCTAGAGACAAGTCACACATTATTTTTGCTCAATAAATATTTGAAATTTTCTTCTAATAGAGACTTACCATGTCAAAATTTTATAGTTAATACAAGTTCTATTTAATAGTAATGAAAACTAGCATCATAACTCTAAATCTCGACCACAGTGCGCACTGCTCTTCTCATGGATCAATTCCTCTGTAACTTTGTCCTTTAAATTAGTGTCACTTTTCTCACTTGATTTGGTGACTTCGCCTTCACTGTATTTCTTGGAATTACATATAGAGTTTCTCAAATGATAACCCTTTCTTTATTTCTATTGTTGGCTACTTTTTGTATGTGTGTAACTCTATTTAAATGGGTTAAAATTGCACTTGTAGCATTACTATTTTTTAAATGTTTTATCATTTTGTAGCGAATGTTGAACCCAGAGCCTCACACATTTGCTATACATCTAAGCCGCAACTCTAGCCCCATTTTCCTTTTCTCTCCCAGCATTTCCTTTTTATTTGCCACTTTTATCTTTTAACTGTCCATTTTGTGAAATGCAACACTGCTTTATGACTGGGAGGCAGATAGGCAACACAACAGCTTGTGTACTCTGAACAGGTGCATGGCTAGTAGCTACTGATAGAATTTGGAAGTGACTGTTCACTGATGGTGATACAATCTCTTATATTTTACTTGGTGATCTATGGATTGAGAAGCTAATGCACCATGATAACCAAAATATGATCCATATTGTTTTGGTCTGGTGTCATTTAATTAAATTGCTATAATTGAAATTTCTATGGATCAGAGTTATGCAAAGCAAACACTGCCTGTGCTTAATAGAACAGAGATATAGAACCTTACATTTTCAACCTGGTACTATTCTAAAATCTAATAATACCATATGAAAGAAACAATAGGCTATTTTAGATTTTTTTATCATCCCTATCCATTTTGAAATTCAGGTAAAATTTACTTACAAAAACATACTTTTAGGCCACATAAATTAAAATTAGATTCTTGATGATTTGAATATACTGTGGCTATCTGACAATTGAAACATTTTTCTGCTGTCTATTATAAATTCATACATGACTTATTATGGTGATTTTCATGGTACTACATAAATGTTAAAATTCACCTATTCCAGAAAAAATATATTAATAAATTCAGAAAGTTGTAAAATGCAATTTTAAATCATAGAGGAAAAGATGGAGTTTGTAACAAAATAATTTGGGTCAACTGAATATTTATTTGTAAAAATCATTGTTCATCTTATACAACCTACAAACAATTCAGATGAATTAAATATGAAAATATAAAAGGCAAAACAATTAAAATACAGGAAAACATATAAATTTAATTTTAAGATATTTGGATATACAAATCTTTATGAGTAGAAAACAATAAAAACAAGGAAGCAAGCAAGCAAGCAAAGAAAAATGAGTGTAATCAGGTTTGCAACCTTCTTTATATATTTCTGCTTATCACTCAAAACTCATACATTTTCTGTTTTGCCAACAAATATACACAACCAGAAAGTTATGTTCTTTGCCTTCTTCACCAAGCCTTTCTTTTCCAAAATCTATACTATATTCCAGTTGTTCCGTACGAAATTTTTTGAGCCATCCTTGACACTTTTCCACAAGAAAATCTTCTGATTTGGCCTAAAAATAAATTCAGCTTCCAACCATATTTTCTTTTATCATTCCCACTGCTATCACCCCAAGCCAAGCCATTACCATCTCTACCCTGTTTTATTTAAATAGTGTCATAATTGGTTTATCTACTCTCATCCTACTGTCTCTATTATCCTCTTTGAAAGCAAGAATGATAATTTTTGTTTTAAAAAAACTAATGTACAATCAATCATGTTATTCCATTCACTTCCATTTCACTCAGGAATAAAAGCCCTTAGTATAACCCTAGATAATCTGTCCATTACCAGCCTGACCTCACCTCCTATTTAGTGTCACCCCCTCATTCTGGTTAATCTACACTTTACTCATTTCTGTTTCTCTATACTATTAGTTATGTTCTCACCTCACGGTCTTTGCATGACTCATTCTCTCTTAATGCAATGAGGTTATTGCTCAATTGGTGTTAGAGAGACTTTCCCTTAACAAACTATTTCAAAATGTAACAATTCCCAGTAATTCCTGCCACTAAGTTTTGCTTTACTATTCATCTTGAGATTTATTGCCATCTAACATCATATAGCCTTATTATTTTGTTTAATAAATGTCTCCTTGACTAGACATAAGATCTACACTGACAATTTGTCTCATTCATAATGTATTTACAGTACCTATGTATACTCAATAGATACTTTTTGAATGAACAAATGAAGAGTATAAATTCACATATGAGCACCATAAAAAATAAGACAAATAATACATTGGGAGAAAATATTCACAACACATATAATCAAAATAGGATGAACTTTCACTATTAAAACATTTTTTAAATAAGTAGACATCAAATAAGCAAGCCACTCCTAAATGAATGAAGTGAAGAGTACAAGTACATAATATATTAGTAGGAAAATGAGCAAATGAAGCTTTATTTCTAAACACCAAAATTCAAATAGAAACATAAAAATAAGTAAAAAAAAAGTTTATGTATTAGATTATTTAAAATAGAAAATTGATTAACACTCAATATTTATAAAGTAAGAGAAAACCAAAAAACCCATTTACACTAATTATGAGAGTATAGAGGCATTTAATAATATGATAGTACTTAGCAACATTGCAAAGGAACATATATTCTAGATACCAACAAATTTGCTCAGAATTTATTTTATGGGGCCGGGGAGATGGCTCATTAGAATAAGGGTCTGAGTTCAATCCCCGGTTCCAAAAAAAAAAAAAAAATTATAATGATGTTTAACAAATATTCTTAAGACATACGTGAAGAAACAAGAATTTTTAATATAGTATATGTTTGTAATCATGAAATCATAGAAAAAATTCAGTATTCATAACACATTAAATTATTTCTGGTGAACCAACACAAAAAATACTCTACAGTTTGTGAAAAAAATGAGGATTATGTTTAAGAACTGATAAAGAAAGCTTGCCATGTTTTACTCACTGACTTTAGCTAGGAAAGCAGATATATGACTTTCGGTATGTAAATAAAACTTTAGGAATATTCATGAACTTGGAAGATGTAGCATGATTTCATATATAAATAAGCGATGAACAATGCTTCCAAAGGGCCGGCCAAACAGCTCAGCAGATTAAAGCACCTGCAAGCAGGTGTAGGGGTTGGGCAGAGGTTTGATCTCTGGGCCTGCTGTGCCAGACCTGCCCCAGGGGCACACTGAGAGGTTGTTTGAGACTGGGCATGGTGGCACACACCTGTAATCCCAGCTCTTGAGAGACTATAAACAGGAAGATCACTATGAATCTGATCTAATAGGGATACCCTGAACACCCTGTAGAACCTTCCCTAAAATACAGAAAAAAAAGTGCTACCAAGTTTAATTTTAATTCTATGCTTTCTATTATAAGATGTATTCATAGTAATCCCACAGATTTTCAATATAAAAACTGAATCTTGAATCAAATATAATATATACATGCAGATTTGTGTATTGGAAACAAATTTCTAAAATAGTACATAAGGAGCTACTAAAAATGGCTACCTTGGAGAAGAATAACTACGTATTTTGGGTTTGTGAACACATAGAAAGAATAAGTCTTATTGTACATCTTTCTATATTGACTGTACTTCTTTTTTGGTGGAACCGGGGATTGAACTCAGGCCCTTGCGCTTGCCAGGGAAGCACTTATTCCACTGAGCCATCTCCCCAACCCACTGATTGTATTTTAAAATCAAATTAGTATGGTAAACTGTAAAACTACTATTCTAAAAACTAAGTAATATAAAATCATAAGGAAAAGTATTTAAATGAATATATCATTTCACCCAGAAATTTCACTTTAAAAGCTTATCCAGTATGAATTATTCAAAATGCATCCACATATAGAATGTACACTCATAAAGAAAATTGCCTAAAATAAATGAAAAGATAGATATATTATAAAGCAAAGTATAGAATAATAGGCACACAGAAATTACATAATTAGTAGAATAAACAAAATTCCAAATGA